ATATCAACTACTTTACTCCGCATACACAGGAGTTATGGCCTTGATCCGTACCGTGAGCAAGTTGCGCTACACCTTCGCGTCGTCGCCGTCGTCGCCGTCATCGTTATCGTCATCGTCGAGCACACGGTAAATCGTGTGCGTCGCGTGGTACCCACAGGCACGAACACAATGCGCGGTAATTGAGTTACAGGAGGTATAGCGCCCTCATGGACAACTCTTCAGCCCGAGAGCGGCTCAACACGTGAACGACTCGACAAAATTGCAGGTCCGATCCAGCTGCATCCGGATGCATCCTTCAGAATGCGATCCTAATAGAGGACATTGATTTTTCCTTGGATTTTCTGTCGGAAGATCTTTTAGCGCCGCGTCAGCAGCATCCTAGAGATCTCTGAGATTGCAATGAACGCTTTACCTACATAATATGTCTCAGCAAACACTATAGTTACAAATAACGTACCTGTAATTGTAATCATTCAACAATAATATGCAATTGTATATAAAGTACGTATGTTATATTATGTAATATAAATATAATATATATACACATATAACGGATTCGAATAGATTTTCTGCAAAAAAGATCTTGCGTGAACTTGAATGCTCTTTACTATTTACTAGTTTTAATTTTCAAAGTCTTTGTCTTTCTATTTTTATATATTATTATAATTATATTGTTGAATAAGTGACACGTGTGTTCTATATTATAGTTACATTATTGAGCAAAAAATGACACCAACAGGAACGTTACATTATGTTTGATGGAGTACATCTTTATTATGACTGGATTATTAAACAGACCAAGAAAATACTCATATTTTTAATGTATCTATCAATTTGGCGTTTTTTGATTAAAGCTGCGTTCAGCAAAAAAGCAACTTTGTAACTATCATAACATTCTTTAATATAACTGACTTTTAATATATAATACATATATAATAACTTGACTTTAGCTCCTCACTGGATCTAAATGTATGCAATCATATTGAAGAATCATACAGTTGCAAAGCTGCTTTTTCTGCTAAACGCAGTCTTCGATATTCTAGAAAACGTAAAAACGTTGCATTTTGCACACATATATTCGCGATAAAATTAACAGATAGTAAAGTACCTGTCTTCACGTTGCATCCACGTGCAACTTTTTCAGACATCTTCGTCGCGCGCTTTCGCTCCTTCTCATTTTTTTTTTTTTTACGCACGTCTCACACACGCGGGTGCGTAAAACACATAATCGCACGTCGCGAGACTATAACGTTTTTCACACCGCGACAGTGCCGATCGATTATTTCTGATCCAAGTAATAATAATATGTGAATGTAATTGCTCCGTCGTTTAGATTAGCTATTAATTGCTTCCCCTTCGGTGTATTTCATATGATGGGTGTCATTTATGGCCGTGCCGTTGCCGCGCGAGAGAAACAACTTGATATTGCCTCTGGCGCAATTGGTTGTATCTTGCACCGCGGGCCTTCACGAGTTTAACGTGTATGTATGTGCTTATGACTCAGAAGGATCTTACGAGGTACGTGCAAATCCAATTTTGCGATTGAGACTTTTCTATTTCAAGAAAGAGAGAGGACGATCCGAATAATATTAAGCCGCCAAGTTCAACATTAGATTATATTATATACAATATAATACATAAAATAAAGGAGCAAAGACATAAATGTTATCGACGAATCAGAAAACTCTTTTATAGAAAATATTCAGGAGATATTAACTGAAAATAACATGACATGAATATTATTTCACACTTGACAATGTAAATATACGTGTTATATTTATATCTGTGAGTGTGAAATTACAATATTCATGTCACGTTACTTTTAACTTATGTTTACTAGAGAATTATATATATTTTAATTACACATATATTAATTATACAGTAGAACCTCTTTATAGTCACACGCTCGGAACAAAATGTGACAATAAAGAGATTATCTTAGCTGCCAAAACAGAACCGTAAATAGCCTTTGTGTAGCACTCATTGAGAGAAATGTTTTGATAACTATAGTAGCAACGATGAACTTGATGAGGACGAAAACAACCTTAGTACTATAGACAATAACTTTTAGAAACAATTAATGATATGATACCAAACTCTAGTTTATTGGGCAAAAATGAAAGAGAAGGATTTATATCGGAATTGAAACATTGGGTAATAAAATATAAAATTTGTTTGAATGCAATTGGAGACTTTTTCCGGATTTTAAGAAAGTATATTTCGATCTTAGCTTTTTTGCCTAATAATTCTAGAATGTTTTTAAGAACACCGCGTAAAAGTAATATAATCAATTTGGCGAGAGGATTATATTGGCATTACGGTTTACATAATATTGTTAAAAAAATAATTATTGAATATGAAAAGTTAAAACTTCTATTAAATAATATAAATTTAATCTTAAACATAGATGGTTTACCTTTAGAGGAAGAAAGGATTTCAAGGATTTGAACATACAAAACTAGTTCAAAGTAAATTTTAAATATATACACGCGGTATATAAAATTCACACATAATTATAATAGCATTGTGATCCAGCTTTGACCGTTATTAGCTTTGCTTCGTGCTTCCTTCTTCTTGTTTATTATTGTTTATCAATTGTACGATTTTAAAAAGATTCTAGTATTTGTTAAATATATACACAGAGTTCTGTAAATTTATTTCTTTTTTAATGATTCTCATATTAAATAGTGGTCTTTTTCGGTCTATTAAAATAAATTTTATATAAAATGTATTTAATTAGACCGTAAAAAGTCACTAAAAGATTCGCAATGGATTTAAATCATTATTGTAAAATGGTAAAGAAAAAAGCAAAAAAGAAAGATGATACATTATACATGTATGTTATTATTAAAACCTCTTTTTATTATTTTACGTAATATGTATATTTTATCGTATTAATGTATATATTAATAAATTTTATTTATTCGTAGAAATTATTAGTTTTTAAATGTGATATACGTGTAATTTGTTAAATGTTATACTTTAATTGTAATACAGTTAATATACGTACAGTGTAGATTATTTTTATAATTGTAGTCAGAGATCAGAAGCTTCAGAGACTGAAATAGACAATATTATTGAGAAATAGCAGGTTCAAGCTCCGCTAAGAGACAAAATGTACGTATAGTTCATATATCTGTGTACTCTTTTGTAATAATTGAATATATAATTGGTTAATTTTTTAATCGTACTTTTTATATTAAGCTTACTCTGCAATCTGCATTATTTACTATATTATAGACGACGCATTATGTACTTGTTTAATATATTTATATATAAAATGTAATAATACATTTAAAAAAAATACCGATGAAAACATGCCGTAACGGTCAAGCTGGATCTAGGATGCTTCCAATATATAGTTTCGTGTGAATTTATATACAATACTACATATGTAACATTCTTAAATGCGCGCCAAAAAATTTTTCAGACTTACAACGCAAACTCTAATAAACTATCGCAGTACTATCACGAGTTAAATTGACTAATAATCTAACAATTTTGATGCTTATATATCATCTTATATAGCATCTTGAATCTTAATAATGTTGAATGATACATTAAAATCTATAGGTCTCTGTACACGGTCAGTAATATACTATCAGTATTAACGAATACTGATAGTATAATTGATTATGTATGGTTAATATTGATGGATTGACGTAAAATACTGACGATGATTTGGATTTGAATACATGCTTTTTCCTTAAGATCCTTGTCGCCATAGATAATGTATGTCAAATCACGTCAAACTGAAGTGAAATATTGATAATAATACTGATCGTATAAGGTTGTAAAAATTAATGCATACTGTCAGTAATACTGATCAGTATTACTGACCGTGTAGGGAGGTCTTTTGAATGATATATTAAAAATCTGTAATCGCACGGAATGCCAGAGATCCGGGTTCGACTCCCGGCTGAGGTAATATTTTTCACAATATAAATTAATTATATACAGATTGTTAATATGTCATTCATAGATTTTAATATGTCATTCAACATTATTAAGATCCAAGATGCTATATATGAGCATCAAAATTGTTAGATTTTTAGTTAATTTAACTCGTGATAGTACTGCGGTAGTTCATTAGAGTTTACGCGTTGTAAGTCTAAAAAATATTTCGGCGTGCATTTAAGAATTTACATATGTAATATATAAATCCACACGAAACGATATATTAGAAGCATCTTAGATCCAGCTTGACTGTTACGGCATTTTTTCATCGGTATTTCGTTTAAACTCTCACAGACCAATAAGATTTGATAATGTATTAAAAAGTTAATATTAGAGGTATAAATCAATTCTTGAATCTTATCCCTTCAGTAGAAGATAGAACATTTATTACAAAATTTTCTATTTACTACTAAAATTCGTATTCTGTAATATGTGTAGAAAAAAAATAAAAATGGTAATAATTTGTTAATTTTTAAGTAATAATATAATTTATTTTTTAAAAATAAATAACAGTACAGAGTTACTTTGTACAATAACTTTCCCCTGTATTTTTCGAAAGTATAATACAATTTTCTTAATTTCTTGTTTTATAGTGAAAAACAGGCCTGCGTTAAACTCCACAATAATAAAAGGGGCAACAAAGATGCATAATTTTGATACAATTTACAGATTTATAAGACGATTTAAGATTTAATTTAAAAGCATTAATTTCGAAATAATTACAAACTGATGTGCACATATTATGACTTTCTTTAAGTTTTTGAAATAATTTTATTTTAGTTTTTATGTAAATAATTTTACGTGTGCAGTATTAATTATTGATTTATTATTTTCAGTAATGATTTCACTGCTGCGTTTATATTATTATATTATATATTATTAATATATAATAATACAATATAATAATATAATAATATTAAAGTGTTATATTGTAAAAAAATATATTATATATTTTATTAATAATGCAAAAGAAAAAGAGCTATACAAGCCAAAAATTCGTTAAAATAAAATTGTTAGCAAATAAAGATTGTTATTTAGTTAGGATTTTGTATAGATTAGATTCAATAAGTATGTGATATATTTTAGTTACATATCTGTTGTAAACCGACGTTACGTACTTGACGTATTGCAGTTACATGTCGGTTATCACATATGTTACGAGGCTTTTATTATTATTAAATTAGACTTCTATTATGTATCTACATTTCATGTAATGAACGCGACGATTGAAACTATTTTGTGCAGTAACAGACACGTATCTATTTGATATCGAATACATATCTGCAATGATAACTATTGTTATCGTCTTGTAACAGTTAGCTCTCTGAAACTAATCGGAAACATGTCCAGTGTGATTCGTGCTGTATGGGTTATTATCTACTTCACTAATAAAAATTAATATAATTCAGCAGAAAAATGCGTTTCTCAAACTGTAAGTTTTATATGTAATTAAAGGATTGGTTTTCATTTTCAATTAACTATTGTAATAATAATATTTAGATATATTACAAATTCTATTAAAAATTAATGAAACAATATAAGATATACTTTTTCCACCTCAAAATGCATTTTAATTTTGATTGACAGTAATGTATACACTGTCAGTAATAAAGTTTTTTACTCTGTAAATAAATATATTCCTTTCTAATTATTAATATTGAAAAAGTCTTGATATCAGTCCTAGCAATTCCATCTATAGTTACAGAGCGACAGCAAAAATCATAGAAACCGTAAGATGGTGTCATCTACCGGTGATCTCTCGTATTAATGGAAGTATGTTACATTTGGAGCACAATTGCGAAACAGGAAGCAATTGGCATTTCAGTAATGTTGTCTTCTATAACTATAAAAGAGAAAATAATTTTTATTTTTCAAGATATTCTAAAAATATATTAAAAAATAAATATAGAGAATACACTTCATAGCTTACTATTATAGCTAATCTTAAGGTTTCAGAGGAATACTGGGCTAATATTATGAATTCGCTGTATCTTCATGTCGCTCTACTGTACTTTGTGGAGCGATTTTCATTGCCAATATCTTAGAGCTGGCATCATTGTGCAGCAGGTCAGTCTCTTCTTTTTTTACCTGACTGCTTTCAACAGCGTCAACAAAGGGTTCCTCCGCTAAATGTTGCTCCTCTAAATTATCCATCTCGTGCTCGGTCTCACTATGTTCAGCTTCGCTATACTCGGTTTCACGCTTTCGCCGCAACTCTTGCTTGTGTCTTTCGCTCGTCTCGAAAAATTTCAACACATCCTCGGTCAGGTTGAATTCCATATCCTCATTGTCGTTATCTTCCTGATCGTCATCATTATCATTATCCACGTGATAATTATAATCCTCATCCTCGGTCAGGTTGAATTCCATATCCTCATTGTCGTTATCTTCCTGATCGTCATCATTATCCACGTGATAATTATAATCTTTCTGAACGTCACGATAACCACGATGTTGAGCTAGAGATCTTACTTTGTCGCGAAGTATTTTATTTTCGTGCTCGAGGGCAACACAACGTGATCTCCACCAGGTTATGCTGTGTCTGAAAACCGATGAGGTTACTTTGACAACTGATTTCCTTCGACTTTACTATGAATTTAACTTGCGATTTCTGCCATTATTTACTTACCGTTTCTGCCATTCCTGAGCTACAGCGTAATTCTTCCAGAAAGCGTCAGCCTGCATCGTGCCCGTCGCTAAAGTCTCCCGTGCATCTGTGACATACTCGGGAAAAGCCGTCCAATGACTCGCGTTAAACCTAACCTCTTGCTCACACAGTCGTTTCTTTAAGCGCTTCAAGCGTCGCTTCCTCTTCCACTTTTTGCGTCGTTTCGCAATATCACATTCCGCCAATTTCATGTTCGGTCGAACTTCCTTTGTTATGAAAGGTCAACTGAGTACACATACATCTGACAGCTATACGTTATTGTTTACGTTCACATGCACGAACGCCATGAAACGTCGGAAACTGAATGGAATCTGATAATGTCTTCTCTGCTCTTGAAGCTTCTGTTTACATAAATGAATAAATCCGATAAAAATAAAAGATGCATTTTTTAAAGAATCGATGTCTCGATATCTTTGATTTTTTGTCACGAAAGATTTCTCTATGTATTTTTCCCTCTCAATTATAATATCTAATAAATTATAATACTATTTTAGTATATTAAATTGATTATTAATTTAATAATACACATTACATTTCTAATAAATACCATTTTAAGGCTGAATACTAATAAGCATAATTGTGTAACAAAAGTATAGAAAATTTACAAAATAATTAATCATACAAAATCCTGTCCAATTATATTATATCAGTTGTTATTTACTTTTACCAAAAATTTCTTATTAATCTGTCCATCTTTCAAATTATTTTATAGACAGAGTAACTAATGTCCTTTTTTTTACCAATGTGATTTAATTTAATTTTGGTTCAACATAGTTCTTCATCTTTCACTAGTTTCACATACTTATAAAAGCCTGTGTGTAGTTTTAAAAATTAGAAAAAGATGAAAATTGGACCAAATAAAGTTAATTTACATGCATTGATAAAAATGGGCACAAGAAGGGAGAAAACTATATATCGGGGATATATGAAAGATTAAATGGGTGATTTTTTTATTAGAAATGTACAGTAAGCTTTATACAAATCTAGAAAAAAGACTGTAACTTAGGTGAAAATTACGCGTATATAACATTACGCGTATATAACACTTATCGAGGTCTGAAGATGTTATCTTTAATCTGTTTCCACGCGTTCGCGCATAACAATCGCCATGTGTTCTTCGCACTAAAATATGTGCATGTTTTTACACACGCATCGATTATAATCTCATTCTTTCGTTTCTGTACACACAGTAAGTGTTATAAATATCTCAAAATTCAACACTACCATTACTTCTCGAAACCTATTCATATTCTATGGTTTAGAATTTTAATCTCGATCACGATCAATCACAACATTTAAAGCAAAGAAAAAAATATAAATACTACCATCCAATTAAAAGAAATCTGATTGACGTATGTTTAGGAACGTGCTTCTTATCATTTATGCCTCGAAGCATCGATTTAATTTCGTTGAAAGCTGCGTGAAAATTATTGTCAATAACATGTTTAAAATATTACAGCTACATTTTCAAACTATAAAATAAAGTGTAAATCTCCGTTCGCGGAAACTATAACAATTTGTTTTATTCTCTATTCATGTAGACTTTCAATCAGCTTTCCGTCAGTAAATGATTATAAAAGTCCAGTCCTGTGTGTGGACCTCACATGTATGACATGTTCAATCCGCGTTCAAACGATACTTCATCATCTCCTAATTTAACATTGGCGCTACCTGTGCTATTTCGTCTCGAATTATTACGAGGACCATTGGGTCGAGCATTATTACTAGATGTTTCGTCATCGCTTCCATTTATCGATGATGACTTATGCAATGGCTCCAATCCGATAATTACACGTACATCATCAGGAATCTGATGTTCCACGGACATCAGCTGATAATAAATACCTTCTGCCTTAGAAATTGTCCAAGGCAACTCGATATGAAGTGACAAATCGTTTATGTGCTGTAAACAATCATATAACATATTAGATTCCGGTAAATTTATGTTGCTGTTATACCAAAAAAAACCTTCAAGTTTTACCTTCAAAATTTCCGTAAATCCGTAATTGTTTTCTATTAAAATATTCTTCTCTGTATCCAAAATGGCCGCGCATATAAGCAAATGAAAGTTTTTACAGGGTAAATCGGTCCATAATATCTCCCATAATTTTAATATATCAATTGCATTAAATTCTCGTTTAAATAATACCAACAGCCATCGAAAGCAAAAGAACATATTTCCAGAATCATGTCTATTCAGATAATACGCTAGTTGCGGTTCCGTAGTGCACAATAACGTATATAATTCGCACAACTGGCCTTTCATACCTTTCTGATCCATCTCGAAATTAGTACTCTATTTTAAAGAAAAAAATAAATGTTACTTATAGGTATTCATATAATTCTTATTACGCAGAGAACATGTCATACTTACTACTTTATCCATAAATCCAACAAAACACCAAAACGCGTCTACTTCGTTATCCATTAAAAACAAAATTGGACTAAGAAGATCGCTCATACCCTGAACATATCCTAAATCGAAATTGTACATTACATAGGTCATGAGTATGTCGTATAATTGTTCCAAGTGTGGATTGTTATCCCCTGCATAGTAAGGATGTGTTCTGTCTGTCCTGTTAACATCCTTTTCTGGAATGAAATTAAAAAATTCGATTTGTATTAACAATATAAAAATACATTTACAAAAATGATAATTTTGCTTCAATTACCTATCAAACTTTTTCGTTCCCTATAATCGGAAAACCGACTTTCTTGCGCAGTTGTAAATGTGCGCCATTGTAATTTCATCGTAAAATATTCGTCAGTCTTTTTCTTCTTAAGTTCTAATCTTTCGTTATGCGTCGATTTCCATGGATAATAATTTAATAAAAATTTCCATACTTCAAAACGTAATGATGAACAAATACCCTAAAAAATTATCACAAATATATGTACACAAAAAAACTATGTTGTACATTATATGAAGTATTGTACATTATGTAAAGAATACTAATGTTATTAATGCTAGAAAAATATTTAGATGCATACCCCCCGAAAGATAATTTCTTTGATAGCTTCAGGATCAGTGATTCTTCCTTCTCGATCTTTACATTTTTCCCATTGTTCCTGTGTTAACGGCCCACCTATGATAGAATTACAATTTTTATTTAAGCATGAAATATATATACAATTAGACATTATATGTGATCATCTTATACCGTAGTTGTATTTTCTATAAAATAATTGTTAATATATTACCGCGCGGACACGGTGGTCGTGGAGGTAGGTCCACTCCGACTCCAATTACTTCATACTCTTCCCCAGATCCTATAGATACAGATACATGCCGATGAGGTTCGATCGTAAGAGACTGGTTTAATAAATCAGCTACTGCTTCTTCAACAGGTCGTTTCACTGGCTCTTTATACACTGTAACATTTATAAACAATATGAAATCATTGTGTTTATGTTCACAAACACAATGAATTATAAATGTATTGATTGAAGATCATTAATCTATCTGCTTACACCAGATATCTGCAAGTTTGCTGAATGCTTCCATTGTTGTTTCATAAGGACGATTGTGTAAGTTCTTTACAAACTTCCACACATAATCGGAAGTGTTTTCTTGAAATAGATCCAACTCGGCGAAAGATTTCTTCAAAACGGTTTCAACTTCGTCCATCACCAAATATAAATTCTTGTCCGAGCGTGATTTTACAAATTTGATGAATCCTTTTAATGAATTAATAAAACTTTCAGCGTTAGCCAGCTGAAAGAAGGCAACGTAGGTGGTACCATCCCTTTGCATAAATATGAGCTGCTGTCCGCCATGATTCACACGAAATGACTTTAGATCTGAGAACAATATTTTAACGGTTCTCGTACGTCCAAGAGAGTCCAGACCCTCTGAGTTTGTGCGAGTCCTCCTCGTGTGTGTATCCACTAGGGACCATTCTGGATCTTGATCTTGGCATTCCGATACCACAGAAACTTCTACAGGCTTCCATTCTATGCACTTGCCGAAACTCTGCAATGCAAAAATGTTAACAAACTTCTTAAGCCAAGCCTTCATATACGCATAATATTAATCCAATAACAAAATCTTACATATTCCACAATATTAAGCGTTCCTGAACTGTGAACCTCATCTTCTCTGGCATTCGCCCCACGAAGCACAACGCCCGTATGGATGCAGAGATCCTAATATATCAACAGAATTATTAACAAGTCAGCAATTTGAAAATAATGGATGCTTTTCAGCAACAGATAACGCAGTGAATCATTAGGTGCTTTCAATTTACAAAACTCAGACAATTCTCTTTTGTGATGTCATAACTCAGTTGAATGCATGTTCTTTTCTATTCTGACAAATGAGTTTCAATTGAGTTTTTACTAATCTACACAAATCTGAAATCACATGTGCTAACTTTTGTTAATTCATAATAAAAGTAAAATTTAACAAACCTGTGTTATTATACGAACTTTGTTAGCAAAACAAATAATGACATCATTATCTGAGTATAAAATACATAATTTTAAGATAATCCCACACGATCAATAATACTATCAGTATTAACAAATATATACTGACAATATAATTGATCATGTGTGATTAATATTGATCAATTAATGTAAAATACTAACAATAATCTGGATCTCGATTCGTGAACATTAATGTCACATTATTACAATGTCATAGTATATCACATATCACAGTGCAATAAATAATATAAGTAAAATATGTTGTAAAATATATTTCATTAAAGTGAAATATATTGTTAACAATGCTGATTGTGTAAAGTTGCAAAAGTACTAAAAATATTCATACTATCAGTATTACTGATCAGTATTATTGACCATGTAGAGTCACCTCATTAGGCTCAGTAATATCACTTGTGCAAAAAGCAACTATTACATCCTTATTGTTTGCCAATGTTAAACAAGATAAAATGACTATTGTGTTACACTATATCTATTGCTGGAAAGCACTAAATAATATCTTTAAATATAATAAGTCACAGACTTAGGAATGCAGATGCCAATGTGTAGCAATTAAAAATAATGATCGACAAATGAATTGCATACCATTTGTAAACAGCTAGAGAAACGTTAAATATAATGTATTCATAATTTCGACGGGGATCACCCGCGCGATTTCTTCCGCGAGACAGAAGATTACGGGACGCGCGTTGATCGTCCTAACGCGAGACACCTAACCTCTACGTCCGAGCCAGAAAAAAAACGATCGAAGAGAGCCTCGATCGAACACCGGGTGTTCTCGGTCACGGTCGATCGGTCGAGGACGCCGTTGCCACTCGTGGAACGTCAAATTCCCGTGCTTAT